TTTTTTTAGGTACTGTGAGGAGATTCCTGCAGAGGAAAATGAAGTGAATGACAGCTCATCCAAAAGCAGCATAGAGACCAAGCCAGATGCTAGTCCACAGCTGCCCAAGAAATCTATCACCAATAGCACACTGACATCCACAGGGAGCAGTGAAGCTCCTGTTTCGGTATGGGCAGTGAGCCCTTCACTTGCACTCCCTATGTAGTGGCCAGTGTGTACTAGCTTAGTTAACTCTATGGGACCCTAACCTGGGGAGTGGGTAGAGGGGAGGTTGGTTACATTGTGGTCAGTTTATACAATGAGACAGATGGGCTTGCTCCATTCTGATGGTCCCATGATCCAGAGCTGGATTCTCAGTGTCTCAGATAATGATTTTGTTTGGCTTCTGAGCAGATGAAAACCATTCAGGTCCATTGTGTGAGCTCTGTTCTCAGTGGACTGTTCCATATCAGCCCTGATTTATTTTCCCACTGTGCTAGACTTTGTGAAAGACGTAAAAATACGCAAGAAGGACCTCTGTCCTCTGGGACCTGGTTACAGAGGAGATGGAAGCTTGATGAAGGAAGAGTGCCAGGTGTGAGCTGGCAGGTAGAAGAAAGGGTGAGGTTCCTCAGGAAAGGATTCCCAGAAAAGAGAGCCTTGTGTGATAGTGGCTTAGGGGTCAGACCACCTGGCCTTAGAATGAAAACATCATTCATTGGATGCCTAGTCTGCATTTTCTGTCTGAAGTTATCTTCCAAATGTAAAGAATCATATTTTTCCCTTTTAGGGCTAATGGGAAAATGAATCCAAAAAATGATTATGAAGCCTTTTGAACCTCTTAGAAAACAAGGTACTAGTAAGAGGCAGGCTGACAGTGTTGTAGCATGGTGCTGAGGTGGCTCTAGGAACAGACCCTGTGTAACTGAAGGAGCTAACTCTGCCAACTCATGCGGCTTGATGTGCTGTCTAATGGCAAGCGAGAGAAGGGCAGAACCTGGTGCTGGGTGCTCTCATCATCCATGGCAGGGCTGGGGAAAATCCTGGAGTGGACTCCAGCTCAGCTCCTACTGTGAATGTGAGGGCTCCCAAGTCCAGGTCCCTAACTCCTCTGTTGGGTGACTGCTCTGTCTCCACCCCAGTTTGATGGCCTGCCTCTGGAGGAGGAGGTCCTGGAGGGCGACGGGTCCCTGGAGAAGGAGCTCGCCATTGACAACATCATTGGGGAGAAGATAGAGATCATCGCACCCGTGAACTCCCCTTCCCTGGACTTCAATGACAATGAGGACATCCCCACCGAGCTCAGTGACTCTTCTGACACCCATGATGAAGGTAGACACTTGAAAATGGGTACAGAGTGGCCCTTTCTTTCTGTTTTGAAGGTTAAAAGATGTCCCTATATGGAGACTAGAGTCAGTGTCTAGGTTCCCAGGGGAAGGATGGGTGGGTAACAGAGCTTTTTTTTTTTTTAAAAGGTACATTTGTTATTAGCAGAGACCCTTTTTTGGATACTCGCAGGAACCTATCATTCCATGTTTGTCTTTTTTGTTCAACAGGTTATGCAACTATAACCTGGAAATAATTAGATTTTATGAAAACTTGCTTTAGTGACGCCAGCATGGGGATTTTTGACCAGGCTAGAAGAAAAGGTGTTGCTGGGTCAGACAGACTCTGGAGACTGCCCTTCTGTTTTATATTTCTAAGTAGATAGCTTCTTACTTTCCTCCTATAGAGGGTTAGCCTCTAGGACCTCACTCAGGAACATGCTGTATCTTACATTCCAGGGTGAGAAGCCAAATTCTCAGTATTCACGAATTTGGTTGATGGTTTACCTTGATTGAATTCTGATTGATTCTGACCTAGTGAGTATATACAGACAGTACTCACTTATGCATCTATGGACAGTTTCTCCTGTGGGTCATATGCAGTGGTTTTCTCACATTTGGTTGTTTTCCCCACATCCAGGATGCAGGGCCAGTGCAAATGACACACATATTGGGTCCTGTGTAATAACAGGGGTGCCATTCATGTAAATTAAGATGTGAATATTCCCTCACTGTGCTCACTATGCCTGTCCTGTATAATCATGGGCATTGACCCTGTAGGATGCCCATGAATTCCTCCCTGGCATCTTCAGGGTCACAGGGTGCCACAAGTGTCAGCATCTGGCTTGAGATCACATACTAGCTCCTAGAGGGGCAGCAATCAAGGACTGTGGGGAGCCAAAGGCTAGGCTTTAGCAGCTCAACTATACCCTCAGACACATTCTTCTTTAGCAGATAGGAACATCAGAAAATTAAAGGTTGTTGAAATCATGGGAGAAGTATAGTGCTTTATGGAAGGAGAGCAGACCTCATATAGTTAGAGATTACAGCCCAGCAGACCAGACCAGTCTTAGAAGCTTTCATACAAATAGAATATTGCAGATTAATCAGCATCCCTTGAACATACCTATGCCATTGTTACAGTGCCATTTGCTGTCAATTATGGCTAACTTATAGACTCTTGATAACTGACTCTCTGGGTTCAGGCAAGTTCAGGAGGTAGTCATTTGTTTATGTTTTAGTCAAAGATCACCTTAAATAGGGAAGCTTGAAAGGATAATAGCAAATAGTACATTCCCGAACTCTTTGTAAAGGATGAATGAAGAGTGGCACTCCAAGTAAATAGTGTGCATGCCATGAAGGAAAGAGGCTGAAGAAAACAACAGAGCTCTGGCACCCAGCTACTCCACTCCATAGCCTTCCTTGGTGGCCGTTTCTACATTAGCCACACAGACATAAGTGCTTGGGGCCATCTCTTGGGATCACCTGCCCCTCACCTTAACTGTCTACTTCCTCATCCTCTCTGTGCAGGGGAAGTCCAGGCCTTCTATGAGGACCTGAGTGGCCGGCAGTATGTGAATGAGGTCTTCAACTTCAGTGTAGACAAGCTCTATGACCTCTTGTTCACTGACTCACCCTTCCAGCGGGACTTCATGGAGCAGCGACGCTTCTCAGGTTCATTCTTCCCAGGACTGGTGCCTCCCACCCCTTCTTCCCTCTCTCCCCATGAACTGTCCTTTTCCAGGCCACATGAAGGCCCAGGGCACCCTCTCTCTGGCCTTACTCAGTACAGAAGCTCGCTCAGGGCCCTG